AGGGATAGAGAGTTAGAAACATCGATCAGCTGCCTCCTGCACACCCCTCATTAGGGATGTTCCTGCAACCAAGGTACATGCCCGTGACCAGAATTGAACCTGGGACCCTTGAGTCTGCAGGCCGACGCTCTATCCACTGAGCCAAACTGGTTAGGGCTGTTGTTGTTGTTGTTTTTTAAATTTTTTTATTGATTTCAGAGAGGAAGGGAGATGAGAGAATCATTGATCAGCTGATCCTGCACGCCTCACACTGGGGATCCAGCCCACAACCCAGGCATGTGCCCTTGACCGGAATCGAACCCGGGACCCTTCAGTCTGCAGGCTGACGCTCTACCCATTGAGCCAAACCAACCAGGGCAGGGCTTGCCTTTTATATCATCTCAGATCACAGGTGCAGACAGCACAGGACAGGTTCCTATCCTTCAAGCCCATGATATCGTTTGTGAAAAGCCTACGTCACTTTGCAAACTCCAGACTCATCTCATACAATGCAGGATATCTGATGCTTGAATGAAAAAATAAGGAGCCTATGAGAGTCACCCAGTGTATTTTTTAAATATATTTTTATTGATTTCAGAAGAAGAGAGAGGGAGAGAGAGATAGAAACATCAATGATGAGAATCATTGATTGGCTGCCTCCTACAGGCCCCGCACTGGGTATCGATCCTGCACCCGGGCATGTGCCCTGACTGGGAATCGAACCGTGAACTCCTGGTTCATAGGTCGATACTCAACCACTGAGCTATACCGGCTGGGCCAGTGTCTTTTTACTAAATGTCCACTCTGAGCCAAGCACTGTAGACTCTGCGATGGTAGTAAACCGGCTGTATGCCGCTTAGAGTCTTCCTTTTATTCTGGAGCATTTTCTCCTTAGGATCACCAGTTTCCCCATGATCATTAATGAAAATAGTTTTTACTCTCCTTTTGATAGTAAAATGAGGCTGTTCTCACTTCTAGTGAACAGATTTTAAAATACTGAATTGTAATAGTTGTGCCAAGTTATACATTTTTTTTGCACAACATATGGGAACTTTAATTATTCTGTGAGTAGTTCTGGAAAAAGAAAAAAATTAAGATTCAAATATTTAAGGGAGACAAGTTTATCCAAATTTCTTGGTTGTCCTTTAGATAAAAGCACTTTTATAAAAGAAACTTTGCCTCTGAGGAATCTTACTCTTACTTATTTATTTTTTAATATATTTCTTTACTGATTTCAGAGAGGAAGGGAGAAGGAGAGATAGAAACATCAATGATGAGAGAGAATCACTGATTGGCTGCCTCCTGCACACCCCCTACTGAGGATCAAGCCTGAAACCCAGGCATGTGCCCTTGGCCGGAATTGAACCTGGGACCCTCAGTCCACAGGCTGATGCTCTATCCACTGAGCCAAGCTGGCTAGGGCAGGAATCTTACTCTTGATGATGGTTTCTGGGCCTTGGCTCTATTAACCTTCTAGGACAGAGGCATTTTGTTGTGGGGCTGCTCAGTGGCTCTATTGCCTTCTTTAAT